CCCCCTCCTCAGCTGTGCTCTCTTTTACAAGCACCAGCGTGGAGATCAGTTCAACCTTCGATCTAGTGTTCAGGTAAATAATGTGATTTCAAAGCACAATGGCTGTTTTTTCACATTCCGCATGTGGAGAAAAAAAAAAAAAAAAAAAGAAAAATTCAACCAATCCATTTATTCCCAGTCTCTTCCCAGTTAAACATTATATGTTTACCATATACCATATGCCGCTAGAGGGCACTGGTGCGACTTATACTCCAGAGCGACTTGTATATGTTTTTTTTTTCTCCATTATACATTTTTTGGCTGGTGCGACTTATACTCCGAAGCGACTTATAGTCCAAAAATATTTGTATGGCCCGCGGGAGATTAAAAAGTCCATGCAGCAGAGTTTATTAACCTATGAAATTAAAAAAAAAAAATTGTTATTACACAGCAATGAACAATATTGCAGATACATGTATTAGTCTGTTACGGACGAGCTATATCTACGACTATGACTTTTATTTTGAAATATTGCCAGATTATCGTCAAATAAAGAAAGTAAATAGATTTTTTTTTTTTTTTTGAATGAAGTAAATTAGAATTTTTTCATTTTTTCACTGTGTCCCACTGCGGGCTGGTACCAAAGGACCTATGGACTGGTACTGGTCCGCAAACCAGGGGTTGGGGACCCCTGATCTATACAGTGTTCCATTTAAATCCGGCCCTTCAACAGGAACTGTATTGCTGATGTGGCCCCCTGGTGAAAATGAGGAGTTTGACACCCCCGGGTATAAGTCTTTTAAATGCACAATTTGTGGGACGCGTCCTTCAGAATCAGAATTCTCCCCTGAACATCGAGAACTTCTTTTTACTCAAATAAAAGTCTGCCTCTGGGTTTAATCAGTTCTTCTCACTTTCATTTCTCTCTGACACTTTGGTGTTTAACTTGCTGGATCTTTCCGCTGTTTAATATGTACATATTGTCAGTGGAGCTGGAGCCCTGGTTGTTATAAATGGATGTGCCTGAGATCTGATTAATGAAAAAATAATCTCACCGACGACAGTCCACAGGAACACTGTGTGTTTAATCATGTTCACAAGAACTCCTGTCAGACATTGCTGCGAGGTTCTACGACGTCATTCAGAACCAAACTAGTTAGAGCTCCTCTGGTTATATTCAGACTATTTTGAGGTTTTTACAGTTGAAACTATGGCGGAACCTAGATTCTATTAAATTAGTGTTCTCAAATTGGGAGTATATATGTACACACTGTATATACAGTATATATATATATACAGTATATAGCATATAAGAAAATAAAGAATATAAGAAAAATAAGTCTTAATGTCCGATTTTCCAGAATATTCTAAAACCTCCGTCATGGATCCTCGCTCTCAGCCTTTATAACCTTTCAAACACTGGCATCTCGTGGTCGTTATTTGTTACTACAGAAGTATATAGTCTTGCTCAACCGAAAACCTCTGAGAGTAAAACCAAACATCACGTCATTATTCTTTAACGCGAGACCAATTAACGTTATCCACATGAATCCGTTATAATCTATTTAATATATTGACAGTTTTTATACAGTACATTACATTTAAGTAATTCGGTGGTTCAGTTTCCACCACTGACTCAAAGACTAAGTCGAAGTTGTTTGAAGTTTTCTCTGTGAAAATGTGACTTTTACAGTCGGCTAGGAAAAACACCCTTTATCTTTTTCCTCGCTAATTTTAACTTACGTAAAAAATGTATACGGACAACGAATGTGAAGTCAACTGTAACTCAGTAGTAAACTGCTGGACTAAAACAACGGAAGAGTTAAAATTAGAGGGATTCATTAATTAAATACATAAATAATAATAATAATAATAATAATAATAATAATAATAATAATAAAAACAGATGTCGCTACACATTAGCATCCAGAATAAGGTCAGGGGTTTGAGTATCGGCTCGTACCGAATGTTCTTACTGTCCGTTTCTGCAGGACGGAGTCGAGGAAAAGATTAAATATGAATAGGTGTATGTAAATATGTGGAATATGCATGGATGAATAATTGAATAAGTAAGTGCACAAATGGATGGAACTGCTAATGTGCTAAAATATTTAATTAATGTGTTCCACTGAAAGCCACTGCTTAAATTGATCATTTCAGCCAATCACTGACAACGTGTCTCATTTCTTGAAGTTTTTTTTTTTTTTTTGCTCTCTTTTAACTAGCCGGAGAGTGTAGTCAGTTTTTCATCTTTATTTTATTTCATTTTTTTTTTAAATGAATAAAGACAGCATACTGAAGGTCCTCTCAACGGCCTACTTTTTGAGAAGCACCGGTTTAAGACAAACCTTTATACTCACTAATAAAATAAAATGGAAACAGTAAAGTTGAGTTGTTTGACACACGAAGACACAGAGACAGCACGGATATTTTTTAAGAATAATTTATTGCCGTTAGGAAAGCGTGAGCTTGTGGCAGTATTTGATAAAAACCTTAAACAAGACTGTAGCATTTCTCACACGCATGAATACCTGAAAAAGTCAGGCGTCCATGGATTAACTCTGCACTATAAATATATTGGGTCCCGTTTTCTTGGTGGAAAAATAAAGAGGTTCCAAAGTCAAAATGTACAAACAAACATAGAAAATTAAACAACACAATAATATGCAGTCGTTCACTGAAGACCCCCCTTTTTCTTTTTTTTTTAGATGAGCGAGAGACATTAAACTTGAACAAGTACACTGTATACAGGAAAGCCACGCTGTTTTCTTTCTTTTTTTTTTTAACATTTCCTCTTTTTTAAATGTAAGCACAGTAAGGCCAATGATTTTACACCATTTAAGTTTGTTTTTTTTTTTTTTCAAACGAATGCATAAAGTATCTACAAAACCACTGAAATCAAAACTGTACATTGAAATTTACAACGGAAATAATAACTTGTATAAAAACATGTTGGTTGATTTGTTAAGAAAACAAAATATCGGTGACATTTTTATTTATTTATTTATTTTTTGTTAATTTCCATGATTTTTTTTTTTTTTTTTTTAATTTCTATTTTTTTTTTTTTTTTTTTTTAATTTCTATTTTTTTTTTTTTTTTTTTTATTTCCATGATTTTTTTTTTTTTTGGACGTTGCACAACAAAATGTCGACTGGACTCTTATCTAAAGTGACCTCGACGCTGACTCCCAGGAGCAGGTGTTGGGCTGAGGAGATGCAAAGATGCTACAGTGTGTCCTGTGTAATCTTTTTGGTTGACTAGCCCTCACAGCCAGGCTTAACAACCACCGTGTTTTGACTTCGCGTCGCCTTTGTTTCTTCTTCGTACATGTGCATGTTAAGTGTCAAAGAGGTGTTTTAGAGGCTAACACAAGGTATCGCTGTGGATTCAGGCACTTTTGTTTGGATCCAGTGTCAGACTTCAGTGTGCTGTTGGGAGTCCAGGGCTGGGATGGCCAGCCGTTCGAAGTGGCTCTCATCACCGCTGTCATAGTCGCTAATCATGGCCTCGGACTCCTCGCAGCACGCCGACATATCCGAGCAGGAGGCTGTGGACGTGTACAGAGACATGGATATGTTGTCCAGAGCGGAGGAGTCAAAGTCCAGACCGCAACCTAAACCGTAGCCTCCTCTGTAACCTCTGGTGCCCAAGGTAGAAGCTGGAGTCGTGTTGGCCGATGTCGAAGTTGCCCCGTGGCCTTCGGTTTCGCCCCCGTCACTCGGGTAAGAGTGCTCCGGTAGGTACTGGTTTAGGCTGTAGAGCTGAGGCAGGGCCGGTCGCTGGCGGACCCCTCCCGGACCGCATGGGTTTCCCAAAGCCTGGTCTAAGTCTCTGCCCTTGGGCCTCAGTGTGTCACAGCCGTCTCCGTACTCCGGCAGAGGTGGGGGCGGCAGGTCGTCATTGACAGAGAAATCCTCCGGTGGGGGAGGGAAATCACTCTCAATGTCGAATCCCCCGGGATAATAGTCGGTGTCGATGGCACTGGGGTCACTGTACAGAGGGGCAGGCGACTCCACAACCTCATACTGTGGAAACTCCTGGATTCCAGGAAGCTGAACACTTGGCATCCAATCAGATGTGTCCCAGTGATATCCTGTCGCAGCAGAGGAAATAAGGGGATTGTTATTCTAGGTCAAAGGTCGTGTTGAGTTGTTAACTGAGGGTTATCGTTTCTGTAAGTTAATGATTATTTAAAATAAAAAAAAAAAAACAACACACCATGCATACGGCACAATGTCAAACTAAAATTGTGAGTTGTTGAGTAATGCACACGCAACTTGATAACTCTGTGAGAGCAAATGCACACAATGAGTCATGGAGGGAAAATGTTTTGGGGAAAAAAACAAAAAAAAAACTCTGTCTCTGTCTCAAAGTTTCTGTCTCATCCTGTGATTTTAAATCGTAATTCGTAATCGTATTGTCTGGAACCAGGCGTGGGCAAACTTTTTGACTCTCGGACCACAATTGTCCTAAATCATGCAGTAAGGCTAAAATGATTTTGGCATTCTCTACGCCACCTATTGGGGAAATGTGGGTATTGCAGATTGATTGATCTGATAGATATATATAATGTATATATATAAAATATATAACTATATATATTTATAAACATAAATATATATA